TGGCTAAAATATTAAAAGACGAACAGACAAACAACAGTACACAAAACACAACATAGAAAACTAAACACTGAGCACCACAAACCCCACCAAAAACTGGGGATGATCTCAGGTGTTCCAGAAGGGTAAGCAGATCCTGATCCACATGTGGCACTCGGTGTGTTGCTCATGTAAGTACAAGCCCGGTGATAAGTCTAATTTGGTAGGCCACATTCGGGAAAAAGGGGACGGGATTATATTTACGACAATTGGAACAGATATTCCATAACGGTCAACCAACTCGTGATAGCTAGCGTCCGTAATATTTACGAAGGGATGATTTCAACTTCACCACTTTGAACTCTTGGTTTAATAGCTTACTTGGGAGCAGCAACCCTCTATCAAGGAAATCATGAAAGGAAATACAAGCCCTGGAATATCGTATCAACTAGGAGATAATTACTCCGTATGCAGGCGCTGCTGGAATGTGTTGCTACAAAGAAATGGAAAGTTCACAATTGGGAAGCTGAAATCATCTCTTTTGTAGTAATTGTCACTGTATCAAGACAAGATGAAAAAAAATATTAAGCCTCATTTTGCAGGCAATAACAAAAAATGTGACCAAAATGATGATTGTGCAGACATTTGCCATGTGGCGAGTCCAGAAATTTGAAAAGGCAGGGGAGGGAAGTCTTATATCGGTATAAATGAAATACAATATTAGCATATTTTCGCTAGTACACTTCTTAAGGCATCGCTTCCGAAGACAAGTGCCCCGTCTATATCAACTCATGTTTGTCATTTACAATCTTGATGTTCATGCGAAGTTGTATTTTATAAATATGGAATGGAATTGTGTAAAGAAGTAGGACCAAGTAGGATATATTTGTCTCTAACTATTGATTTATGTCTTATTTAACCAGTACCAACTTTATAAACTATGTAAAGTTACATATACAAAACATTTTTCTGCGAACCTTATTTTTTCAACGGTGTTGATTGCTTCCAAACGTATCGCTAACTGCTAGGTTTTAACCTTTGATGTTTATATGAACTTTAAAGATAGATTTCCTTCAGGGGTACATTCGCCATATATCCCGTTCAAAATAAATTTGAGATAGGAAGATCCAATAAGCAGTGAAATTTTTAAACAAAAGTGTGATATTCTTCACCACCTATCTAACCTCCTGTAAAACCCCTTAAAAACGTGACTTCAAATGTAACATCCTGTCAAAATCCTTCACAACGTTTCTAAGTCTCATTTTAAACACTACAGAAGACTCATCAGTGACACTCGAATCGAAAAAGTTAAAAAGGCCAAATAAAATTCAAATATATATGACTTTCATTGCCTCTAAATATGTCCTTTGCTTGTGTATGACTGGAGATTTCTAAAGTGATATAACTATATTTTTCAGTATGATTTTAGATGCCTTGTATAAGCCGAAAGAAAATAAATCGAAACCACCAGAATTAAAAAATACAACACCTAAATCAACGATTGCGCCTTTAGTTTCAAAACAAATACCATTGTCATCTACAACTATGCAGTTTGAAACTACAAAAACAGCAAAAACAAAATCTACTTCTCAAAATCAAATAAATGAGGACAAAACAAAAAAGCTGAAAAAGAATAAAAAACAGAAAAGAAAACGGAAGAAATATCCAAAATTTATTAGAGAATCTATGAACGATTTCCGTGATATAATGATAGAGTATAATGAAGTATGGACCGAGTACCAGATGATGCAGAGGTTTATGTAAGTATATAATACAATACAAAAATAAGGGTACTTTCAATCATAAATGTATGCATTTGTTTGATACCGATGCTTGCTATTCTTGTCATTTTGTTATCGTGAATATAAGGAGATATGCGATAGACTAGTGAAAACCATGGACACACATTTTAAAAGGTTGGACATAAACGTGCTTCAAAAGACATACTGATGACCATTTGTTGAGAACTCTTTTACGAAATAATCACTCACAGTGTATTCGATATTGATACAGACAAGACGAATGTATATGTTTACACTATCTATACAAATTTTTGGTTATATGTCAATAAGACAGAACATTTAGGACTTTTTTAACATATAGGCATCATTTTCAGAGCGACTAGCTCATTCAGAAACAATTCCGCCAATAGGATTGTATTAAATAAAGTAAAACTCCAAGGAAAATTCAAAACGGAAAGTCCCTTATCAAATGGCAAAATCAAAAGCTCAAACATATCAAACGAATGAAAAACAACTGCCATATTCCTGACTTGTTACAGACATTTCCTTATGTAGAAAATGGTGAATTAAACCTGGTTTTATAGCTAGCTAAACCTCTCACATGTAAAACGGTCGCATAGAATTCCATTATAATGACAACAATGTGTGAGCAAAAAAAACCAGACATAATAGGTAAAAATGTCAAAAATTGGGGTACAGTAGTCAAAATTGTGTTATAATCTTAATAACTATAAACACAAACCGCTATCTCAACAAAGAAAAACAAAATGGCATATAGACACTCAATAGACAAAGCACATAAGCAGAGACAAGAATACTAAAAATGATCATAGCACAATAAAACAATGGCGGGATGTATAAATACCGAGCCTCGCCAAAATGATATTACCAAAAATTGACTAAACAGTAAAGGTTAAAAATATACAAAGAACATATAACATGTAATTTAGGTGAAAAACAACGTCATTTCTAGAATCTATACTTCAAGACCATCATGCATTATTTGTGAAGTTGATACGGAATATTTATCATCAAGGTCTTGGTATCTTCCGATGAACTCTTTTAGAAAAAGGACGAGACGTTCTTTGACATAACCCTGGTTTATCAACTTTCTGCTCAGACACTGTTGACGTTTTATAAAGTCTGAGTAGCAGCTGCAAGTTCTTGAATACCGTATGATTTGGGAAATGTTTATCCCGTGTGCAGGTGAAGTTGGTATATTACTTCTAAGGTGGGGGGAATTTATAATTTCAAAATTAAAATTGTTACGTTTGTCATTGTTTCTGGTACTGAGATGACCGCTTATGGCAAATTCGAGGTAAAAGTCTAAACACGAGGCGGATTCAAATTGGAATTGAATGAGATTTTATGTTAAGCATCCTGAGTCGGTCAACAGAGTAAATATCTCTCAGATTATTGGAGTTGTCGTTCCCAATGTGTTCCGTTCTTAAAGCAGATTTAATCGCTTGTCTCATCACTTTGATGGTTTCATGTCACCATCACAAGTCGTTTAATTATCACAATGTAACCAAGATTTTTAAATTAAGCTTTCTTATTTCAACGTTTATCATGGCGTTGTCAGTTTATTTTCGACTTATAAGTTTGAATGTCCCTTTGGTATCTTTCGCCTCTCTCTCTTGAACGCATAAATAGGAAAACTAACGATGTATATTGAAAGTCAGGCATGTTCAATGCATCTGAAATGTTCAACTTACCCACTATCCCTCTATACAGAAAAGAGCAATCTCTAATACAGACGTTTTGAATATCAAAAGATGATTTTCTGTTTTTCTAAATTTCCTCCTATATTAAAGTTACCTGATCTGTTTCAGACAATTTAACACAATTGGGAAGTCATCTCCTACTGATTTTACCTGAAAGCTAACTATTTTAAGTAATAATAGAATAGTGTGGAAACTGTTTATATTTTATCTCTAATTATGTTGTAAAAGCAGAAGTTTATATGTATGAACACTGCTTTTTAACTTTCGTACTTGTTGCAATGAACTTTCACTATAGAATTCACTTTTGACCAATGTCGATATGCTAAAAACGTCATTGTGGTCATTAGTCTTCTTATACTAGAGCACCGTCAATTTGTTTAACTATATGGTCTTGTGTGCACATATCATAGTTTTATTGACGAAGGTGTATGTGCCGAATACGTTCTCCATTTATAAAAGCTAATTTCAAGTTATAACTGGATTTTTTTTTCGTTTCAGGCCTATGTTTGGGAGATAATAAGAAAAAAGACTTCACTTTAAAAAGGCAGGACATAATAGTTTATGGATAATAGTATGAAGTCTGCAATCGTAAAAACCGTAACTTATATGACTCTTAGAAGGTGTAGTCTTATCTATATAAGTAAAGTTGGACAAAATCCAAACAAGTAGTATACAACAAAAGGTAATGTGCAATATATGACAATAATTTATCCATGAACGTTTAAGTATGGAATAGTTGTTGAAAACAATACATACTAAAATGAATACAAGTAATCAGACCAAAATAGCCTAATAAAAGTGACATATGATTATTGTGAATTAATACTCATAGAATTTTATATATGAACATAATGATATACATTGTATCAAGAAATTTTTATTGATTAAATAGTGTCATTTATTGCAGTTGTATTAATCGATGTCCTCTTTATGGTAATGTTTTTAAATAATTTCATTGTTTTTCTAAATGCCAAGGCAGAAGGTAAACGTTCCGTTGTAGGAGACGCTATCTTTTATATCTTTAACTGCGATCATTCAGACAACCTCCCTATCCTTCATCACTATAACAGATGATGTTCTAATGTATAAAGTTGATGGGTTATCTTAATTGCTTAAAATGTGATTCAAATGCATCAAACATGCTTTGTGTTTTGAAATATAATGTTCCATATGTAGAATTTTATTTGTAAGTATAGACAGCACTTCCGTTGTTACTATCTATGATAAGAAGAAACAAAGTGGATTATTCCAATTCTACTGCATAATCTCTTTGGACGACATAACAAATAGGTTATACTAGTGTAAACATATTTGTTATGTCGTCCAAAGAGCCTGATTATTCAGTAGAATTGGAATAATCCTTATCATTTCTTCTTATCATAAATAGTAACATTTGAAGTGCTGTCTATACTTACAAATAAAATTCTACTTGTGGTACATTATATTTTAAAACACAAAACATGTTTAATGCATTTGAATCACATTTTAAACAATTAAGATAACCCATCAACTTTATATATTAGATACATGTAAACGTTATATATCTTACATCAAAAGCCACATATCTACGTTGTTGTAATTACCGTTACTTTAGTGAAACAGACTTTATGTATTTTAAGATGCAGTAATTTACGGTATAAGATATATTTGATATCAACAAATATACCTGAATACTACGTAGTTTTTGTGTGATATTAGTCCAGTTATGCTTGTTTTGATTTATATGTTATATTGTAAGTATCTTTTATTTATTGTTATATATTGCGTATTTTGATGTACTATGTTTTTTCATTTCTAGTCAGATATATATTTTTTTCGTGGTATGAGATGTTAATAAAAATGTAAAAATGATAACCATTTTATTTTATAAAGTCTTCATCAAATGAAATAAATAACTCTTATCTGTTCTGATCCAAACGTAGCATTACCTCTAATTTCACAATATATAAATACTTCCTTACTGAACAAAAACAAAATACACAGAACAAGTTTTTCTTAAATCGTTAAATTCAGACTTTTTTTTACCTCTGCTTGTGAACTTTAAGTCTCCGAGGGTATCACCAGCTTAGTAGCCAATGCGATAATTTTTGTTATTGAAATGTGATATAACAAAATATTAAAAATTATTTAAAATTATTGAATGTATCTCCCTCATCCAAAACTTCGATTCCTTGTCCTGCTTTGGCTATACTTTTTGTCCATTTTTGTAAGTTTTAGATTTTCAAATATATTGGCCTCGAGCATCACTGAAGAGACATTGTCAAAATGGGCATCGGGTGCAGTCAAATTGGGTCCGTCATTTTCATTGTGCAGTATCAGTCAAAATATCAATCAAACCATTTTCAACAAACTAATTTTTCAGATTGTTCGTTTGTTGTGCTGTTACACCATTGTCCCAGGTTATAGGTAGGGTTCAACGATCAAACGCGTGTTTAACCATGCCATACACTGTATTTGAATTTCCCAAGTCTGGAGCCTGTAATTTAGTTGTTGCCGTTGGTTGCTATATCTGTTTTTTCGTTTATTGTTTTGTCATAAATCAATCCGTTGGTTATTTTTTTTTCGTTTGAATTGTTTGACATTTTGTCATGTCGAGCCGTTTTGTAGCTGACTATGCGGTTTTGTTATTTCACTTTGTTAACGGCCATACGGTGACTTATTATTGCTTAGATCCTCGTTTTCGGACTCTGTTGATTATTTGTCTCATTGTCAGTCATACTACATCTCCTTATTCTATACTAATGCAATGAAATCCTAACATACATTATTTGCAATGCAAGTACCAATCTGTTATGGATCGTTAATTTGTTTAACGAATTGAACTACATATATACCTCAAATGCCTGTAGTCAAAACGCATTCGACTGTTGCAAGTACAAATAAATAAAAGGTCAACTGTCCCACTGAAGTACCATGCCCTTGTCTTTTTTACATCAATTTGCATAAAATCATGGAAAACAATAAATTTCAAGTGACTTTCATTTGTCTGAAGACTTATTATCAAGGTACATAAGTTAACATGCTTACACCGAATGATAATATGTCATCAAATTGATGTATATTTTCAGGTAAATGCATAAAGAGGCGTATACAGTTGTTTTTCACAATGATCTTTACATAAATTAATGTTTATGCAAGATAAATTGTATCATAATTTACTATTATATTCAAATGGATGCAAATGCACTTCTATTTTAATACAGAGGCTCTAAAGAGCAAGTGTCGCTCACCTGCATCTTCAACAATGGCCAATTTTTAGTAAAAATCATCATTAAAGGGGAATAACTCTGTTATTAACTGACAATTTCAGTCATGTCGATCTTATCTTGCTGATCATTTTTCTTTTTCAAAGTTTCTGTTCATCTATTATAAGTTTCAAGATAATAGGCAAAAATGAAAAATTGGGTAAAATCATCACTTAAAGGTAATAACTTCAATAAGGCGTCGACCAACGACTTCGGTTATAATGACTGGTTTGTAGATCTTGTCTTGCTGATCATTTGTGCTTTTAAAATTTCTATCTATCTATCATAGTTTTCAAGATAATAGGCAAAAATGCAAAAAAAATGGGAAAAATTATCATTAAAGGGCAATAACTTCAATAAGGAGTCAACTTACGATTTCAGCCTTGTTTGACATATTAGTAGATCTTGTGTTGCTGGCCATTTATAGTTTCTATCTATTTATTGTAGTTTTCAAGATACTTGGCAAAAACTCAAAAAGTTGGGAAAAATCGTCATTAAAGGGCCATAACTTTAATAAGGTGTCGACTGACAATTTCGATTATGTTGACTTATTTGTAGATCTTGTCTTGCTGATAATTTTTGCTATAGAAAGTTTCTGTCTATCTATTATAGATTTCGAGATAATGGGCAAACAAAAATGGTAAAATTCATCAATTAAGGCAAAAACTCGAACTGCAAATAGTTGTCTGACAGTTTTGATGTCAATAGACATTAGAAATATCTCATTATGCTAAACATGTTTGCCCCTGTCAGATTTTCTCTATAGCGGTTTTCAAGATAAAAGCCACACAATTTGCGTTTTATCCCTGTGTTCTATTTTTAGCCATGTCGGCCATGTTGGTCGGCAGGCGTGTTCAACTGACATATTTTTTAAAAAAGATACTCCAATGATGATTGTGGCCAAGTTTGGTTCAAATTAGCCCAGTTGTTGCAGAGGGGAAGATTTTTGTAAAAGTTAATGGACAGACGACGACAATGACAGGCGACGATGACGAGGACGACAGACGACAGGCGACGATGACGACAACGACAGACGACAGACGCCAAGTGATGGAAAAAGCTTGCACTGGCCCTTTAAGCCAGGTGAGCTAAAATGAACTTTGGACTAAAAGAATGAATAGTGACATGACAAGTAAATACAACAAAATGCATAGTTTGTCTGTTTATGCATTGTATAATATGGGCTAATTGTCTTTTAGAAAGAAACATAATCTAACAATAAAGAGACATCTAGAGGTCAATAGAAGGTCTTCAATTAATGTCTTTTACTTGTGTCATACTCGCCAGAGTCTAGACAAGCTGGCAAACAATTTATTAGAGAAAATAAATATCCACTATCAATCCTGATTTTTGTTGTTGAAAAAATGACATTTGAAGCAATTACAGACCCTTACGAGAGTATTGACTTCATATAGGTACATTAAATACATTCCAGGATTATTTACTTTTGTGATAGTATCGGATCATCTCACGAATGTTCACAGTGAACGTGCTCAAATTACTGATCTATTGATGCAGGAATCATGCCTGGTCTAAACCGCATTAGATATAATACATATGTCCTTAACAGTGACGAAAACCGTCAATTTGTGCAATGTCTTAAGTTAGTTGTCCACATGACAAAAATGTACAGAAACATTTAAATAACATTTTACCCTATAAATCAGTTACTGGAAATTACAAACTATCGGAATTTTTCATTTCTGTATTCTTAATTGTTTAGGCCAGTTTTCCCAATTCTTTATTTCTGCCCATTAATTTCTTTTTGTTTTTATATTTAATCTTTCCATTATTCTCTATAGTTCTTAAATTTTTGGCTCGTAATAGTCTATTATAAAAACCACATCCATACCTCTAAAATATAAAGATAAGGAGATGTGGTTTGATTGCCAATGAGACAACAATCCACCAAAGTTCAAATGAAGTGGATGTAAGCAATTATAGGCAACCGTATGGCCTTCAACAACCCCATCCATACCATTATATAACGACGTCGGTTGAAACATAAATTCAGGTTTTTATAATCACACAGTTAAGACATAATGAAAATAACATTCCAAACAGAACGAGAACACATCCCCTTATTTCTAAATCTTGTAGTACGCAAACAATGCCCGTCCAGTCACACCCAATAGTGAATCCTTAAGGAACATGACAAAGCATCCTCTACTTCACCCGTCATACGTCCAGTCACATCCTTTAGTAAATTCCCAAGTAACATGAGAAAGCATACCCTACAGGACAGATATCAGCCGTCAAACGTCCTGTTACACCTAACAGTAAATGTCTCCAAGATTGACAAAACAACGATGATCAGAGGGACAAAAAGTTACACGAGGGAACTATGTAATAAAATATGTCAATATAACTAACAAAATTTAGAAAAAAAATTTATCCGATGATCGTAGAAACTGCCACATGATTATGTCAGTTGTTATTTCTCATAGCCGTGTTGAAGTAGTAATTGAATGAAACCGTATAAGAATTTTGCTTAATGCCTTTATGAAATTTCTCACTATAATAGGGTGGTAGGGACATCCCTTTCAAAAATCATGTGATATGATGCATACTTCCAAAATTATAACAAATATTTGTGATAAAGAAGTTTTATAAACATTCATGTATAAACATCTATGTATTTTTAGTGAACTTTTATTCTGATAAATTGATATTTGAGACGTTGGTGTATATTGTTCAACAAGAAAAGGAATTTCTGTTTTTTCTTCATTCGGGATATTTTGACTAAAGAATAACTCATCTTTGATCTTACTCCTTACTATACATGGAGGATAGCTGACCGATACTGTTATCCAAATAACATTTGAGGTCAACGGTGCATGGGTGATATGAAATTTGACTTTATATGAAGAAGTGTTTCATCATAATGTGAATTGATAGAATGTACACATTGAAACTTGAACAGGTCAAAAGTATTTAATTGATTTATGGCGAAATAACTCTTTGGGAGGACTAACATTCCCTGCAGTTATTTCTACCAAACGGTTCATGTATAGTAAATCAAAGTAAAACCTATCGTTTTGTTTTCAACTTGATACTCCTCAATTTTTCCATTGCACCACTCATAACATATTGATTTTGATTTTTGCTGCAGTACATTTTGATTCTGTTTTTAATGGTCTATTTCCTAACTTTTGTTTTATTTCATTGAATTGATTTATCAGCCATCACTTTTTGGCCCGATTCGTTGTCGTATCAAATCTATTATCATGTTACGCTCAGTCTAGCTGTTTATATGTGCAGTAATAGTTAGGATTATACAGGTATAACTAAAGTCCTTAAATCTGAGCTCGATTGATTTTTCGGGATCATATTTCACTAAGTAATGTACCAGCACGTCCGAAGCTCTTTTCTGGATTTATCTTCATCAGGAACGCGCAAAGACAAATATATGAAAGCCAATGATGTATAAGAACCAACACAGCTGAAGACCTATATGACCAAACATGCCCTAAAAAATAATAGTCAAATCCATCTAAGGTCAACCTTGACTGAGGGAGTTGACAAATCTTTGTTTTTCAATAGTTTCAATAGTAAATATGTTTTAATAGAATCTAGATACCAAACGTTTCCACGTATTCCAATGGGTAATAATTGTGCACCACTACCGGTTGATTAGGTTTTTGTACTCATCATGACGCAGAATGCATACATATCTTTCTAAAAGACAAAAAGAAAAGAATCTCGCGAAGTTCTTTAATTTCACTGGATATATTGATGATGTTCTGTCACTCAGTAACCACATTTCAGTTAATGCTTACATTTTTACATTTCATATATCACAGTGAACTTGTATTGAGATTAAGGATACTATCAAAAGTAGAGGTCTGCTTCATATCTTGAATTCGTTTTCTCGATATTGACACGGACCGACGAAATGAACCCAGAATTCATGAAAAACGGGATTAATTCAACATTAAAAATTGTCAACTTCCCACTTCTCATCAATAACATTCCCTCTGCTCTATCGTATGGCATTTACATATCTTTGTAAACACGTGCATGTTCATAGTTTACGGACTTCATGAAGAGGAGTGTGCTTCGTACATTAAAACTGCTACAACAAATGATGACGAACGACTTAAATCGACACTATATAATCGTCACGGTCACTATCACGAAATTGTTGATCGATACGATGTGTCGGTGTGCCAACTTGATCACTACCAGCATGTTTTCGCGATCTAAGATCTAAAGATACTAAAATAGTCTACTGATCTGTAAATTCACTGGTTGTGTTTCTATTCCCGATGGTGACATTTTGGCTGAGTGTGGACTTGCATGGCAGGTGATGAATAGATAGCAAGAGACGTTAACCATTAGGGTCGCACACTGTCTCGCTACATTTAGAGCAGGCGGCTCCCTCAGTTGTTTTACATTGATTTGAATTGTCTCTATTGATTGTGGTATTTGACCATCGGTAAACTACTATTGTTTCTAGTTGTAGTTGTGACTCGAATAAACGCTGACCATCATATACGTTATGCGGAACGGCACAGTAATGATTTTCCGGAACATGGGTTGGACGAAGGATGGTTAACCATCAATGTCTCCTCAAACTTTATTATCAAGTTATACGCACTTAATGATCAATGCTGGAAGGTAATTATAACTGTAGTGTCTAGTTATTCCTATTTAATGATTAATGCTTGAAAGTGATTATAACTCTATTGTCCGATCATACATATTCAACGATGAATTCTAGGAGGTAATCATAACTCTATTGTCATACATATATACTATAATTTCATTTTCCATTTATACTCACCCAACGATGAATGCTTGAATGCATTTATTAATCTATTGTCCATTTATACTCACTTAACAATGAATGCTTGAATGCAACATTGTTAATATATTGTCCAGTTATACCCACTCAACGACGAATACTGGAAGGTTATTATAACTCTATTGTCCAATTATAATCACGCAACGACGAATGTCAGAAGGTTAGTAAACAGTATAGTATACTGACACAATATCGAATGCTGGAAATTACTTATTACTTTATTGTCTAATCAACGTGTATGAACCAGGTGTGTGTTTTTTTCATCAAAAGATTGAACTTAATAGTTGCATCTGTTGTTATTCTTAAGAAACTACTATTTACCCGTGTTTTAACATTTGCTTCTGAAACCCATCTTCTTTTTTTTCACGGTCGTGCCTTTTTACAAACGTTTTATTCTAAAGGGCTAATAAAAGTAATATGATATAAAAAAAAGATGCATAAGATACCAAATGAGATAACTATTGATTTTATGCTTAACTTTTTACCAATCAGTATAAACTGATCATTTTAAACTAAATATTTATATGTAAATGTAAAAAGGAAATATTGAATAAAACCATATTGAAGTAGCTGGCAAAATTATGAAAGTAAAAATTCTTGCCATTACTTACAGTGTCCATTTGTTCACGTGACAACAATACAAGGTATGGCTTCCCAAATGACTTTACCAGTTAATACTACTTTCGGAACTACTATTGCCTTAAAACGAAAACACCCTGGTACCAACACGGAGGAGGAGTTTTGCAGGTAATAAGTGTTTCTTTATACTGAGGTCTGTATTTTTCGTAATATTTAAGTCGATGATACATAACATTTAAAATGAAGCCTTTCTCTTTTTTTTTTATCTTCGTGTTATTCTTTTTATTTCATGCATTTCAGTTGGTATTTTAACTTTTTTGAATCGAGCGTCACTGATGAGTATTTTTTTAGACGAAACGCGCGTCTGGCGTCCAAATATTAAGCTGGTATCTATCATGAGTTTGTTTATTTGTTGTGTTTACGGGAACAACAATTTGGAAAGCTTTGTTATGACACGGACATGTCGATGAACATATGAAATATGAGTAAATCTGTGTTAACTGTTTTCGTCTTTAAAATCACATTGTTTTTTTATATAAAAAGATAACAATGAAGATGTGCTGTATGTTTGATATGTAAGGTTGAACTGAATACTTTTGTTAGATTATACACATGTAAATAAAAAGTATGTGTCACAGCGTTCTAACAATAAATATAGAGATACTGATTTAATGTAGGTTTCATCAGAAATTTAGGGAAGGAGGCAATTACTGGGTTTTTGTAGATTATGAAACATACAAATCAGAAGAATGTGAAGTTCTCCTTATTAATCATCCATTACCTGCTGAAATGCGTACGTATAATTATTTTAAAATTAGTATTTTAAATATAAATTTCATAGCCACCACTTACTTCGTTTAGAAATTTGATTCAAGTATCATTCCATACTGTCTAAAATAGAGACGTATACAAACTTGGGTCATCAATAACCCCCTTTAACCTGCTTGGATGCAAACATATACATAAGTACTACTATTATGGAATCATTCTTTTTCTGTTAAAATTCGAACATACAAGAACTTTAAAGAAGTAACAATTGATCAACTAATCGAACATGCAAATCACTGTACTGGATAACCATATCTTCCAATGCTTTCGGATGAAATATCACAAACAAGCAAGGATTCATCTATCCGCACACTCAAACAAACCTCCATTAGAAAGAGTAATCATACTCATATAGAATACAAACGAACTCAAACAAGCAATTTTCATTTCATATCTTAATTATGACTTTTAAAAACTTTAGAACATAAACCTTGCAGATGCATTTTTCAATCATTTTGTATTTGCCTTTTTAGCAATTCTTTACGTATTCCTGGTTCTATGTGCCTTGCCACTTGTTATCGTTTTAGCAAAAATCGTATTTGGGTAAGCATACAAATATTATCACTTTAAACTGTGATATTTATTTACTGTCTTATTGGACAATATTTTAACATCTCTGTAGTCTCCTGGTCACGTGCACTCAGTCAGACATTTCAGCGTCGTTGCAATTCAGGTCTTTATATCACCTGTGTACATCAACTTTGGTATATAGTGTTAAATTAGTCGGATAATGAAATGTTTATCAAGTTCATAGAGAACTTACCTTAGTAGTATTTGTTCAGTGTAATTAAAGGTGACTAAAGTCGTTAAACAATGAATTTAATGAATATGCATACTATATGTGCCTCTGTACGTTAAACAAGTAATAACTAATCCTTAAAAGCAATCTTTAAGTTTATACTTTAACATTCGGAACCCTTTGTTCAAAAGTTTCTTAGTAAGCACAATCCTCTATCAAGGAAATCTATCAAATATATACTACATAGCCAGGCGACGAAAGAATGGTTTTACATAGAAATGGAAAGTTCACGATTAAAAAACTTTAATCTCTTTTTTCGTCATGTTTTGTTCTCAAATGACGGTTTAATAGAAGTTTCCCGATTTAATACCATACCAACCGTACTTTGAACTGGGAGCAGTCATTCGACTTTTGATAATAATTGATGTATACACTAAATATTTGTGTTTGTATGGATGAAATGATCACAAGGTTGAAATATAATGATGATGTAACAAAATACGTCTTAACTTCTTTGAATTATTTTAGTTATTATGACGCCTACACATCGTCTTATGCATGACTGAATTACTCAAAAAATTAAATGTACGCTGGTGGCCATTCTGAACTGGCATTTTGTTGAATAAATTACCTTAAGTGTATTTGGCAAAACCTTAAGGAATATTTGGTCTTCAAAGCTCTTCAACTTCGTACTTTATTTGGCCTTTTTATCGTTATTGATTCGAGTGTCACTGTTGAGTCTTTTGTAGATGAAACGGGCGTCTGGCGTACAAAATCTTTAGCCTGGTATCTATGATGAGTGTATTTGTTAGGTTCGCTTCAATATCTCAACATACCAGAGAAGTACAATTTCAATTATAAAGTTTAAATCATATATGTCCTGTGAGTTTATTATATTGTTAAGTTTGATTTATGATCATTTAAATCCAATGGTGTGCAAGTCTATACTTTTTTGCATTATATATTCAAGAGTGATTTTGGCATTCCATTTATACATTTATACTTGTATTTTATTTAAATGTAATCCTTGCTGTACTGATATCATTTACCTTACATTTGTATTCCTCTAGAAAAATTAGGAAAAGTTCTTCTTTTCAAGTAACAGAGCCATCAACAAAATCAAAGAAGGATCTAAAGCTATCGGTAAGGCAGCCAACATTTGTTGTTGTGTCTGTACATATAATTATACTATTATCTATTGATTGGTAATAGACAAACAAAGAGTTTACACTCTGGTCATTCATTTTCAACACTTATATTCTGTACTTTTTAAAAAAAATTGATTATGTAATCAGAGGCAATAATGGCTAATGAAGAGGGTGATAATCTTTACGCCCATTTCCTTAAATATAGAATATAAAAATATATATAAGTTTTTAGAATGTTCTTGCTTCTTAACTATCAGTCAAATCCTTTTTGTGACATTATTCCAATTACAGAGTCATCACACAAAGAGTCAGGATCAAGAAAAAGGTCAAACAACTGGAGTAGAAATACAACCGGAAGAATCTCCGTCCACAAAAGATCATAGGAGAACTCGATTGAAATCCTTAGACACATTTAGAGGGTACTTCACACATTCGTGTTTTTGATATTAAAAAATTAAAAATGAGAATAACTTTTCGAAAATAAATACTTTCTTTCAAAGTTTATTGTAAAAAGTTCTTTTAATTCTTTCACGACAGGTTGATTTTTTTTCAACGTGTCATTTGATTGACTACTCATTTTCATTGGTCAAATTCAATGATTATGTCATATTTTCTTGCTTTCCTCAAAGTCTGGAATTGTAACAGCAAATCGGTAACCATTGGAAAACAAGATAAAGTTTGTTTTCATATCGTCTACAAATCATTAGAGAAACATATTCCACTACCAAATCTCGTGCAATAGTATATTTGTCCACCACTCTCAATAGTGAAATTGTAAATATCTAAAAAGCTCGGCAAGCATCAAATTTGAAAAGTGAACTGCTCGATGCAGTGGTAGAATATATATATTAATCAATTTTCATATAAAAAATTATTTGACAGGAGTCAAAATACATATGATATATTAACATTTCGGATAAAGCCTGGTAGTAATGATATTTGTGAAAAATGAGTTATAAATATTTTTTTTAGATTAAGCTTGGTAGTAATGATATTTGTGAACTATGGCGGAGGAGGGTACTGGTTCTTTGACCACCCATCATGGAATGGACTAACAGTGGCCGACTTAGTATTTCCTTGGTACGTTCATCGATGACACTGCCGAGGATTAAACCAGGCCAGCCTAGCAGTCAGCACTTTTGTGTTGACATGCAATATCATTGATAATAAAACGTTGAATTATTCGAAACATTAAGGTTTAGATTGCCCTGGCCTTTTTTGGCACAACGTTACTGAATTTTCGGGTTGAATTTTCTTCAACTTCGATTTAGATTCGGTACCTGAATTGATGTGTTTCGAACGCCATTGATGACTTTAATGAAGACGAAACGTTCGTCTGGTGTATCAAATTATAAGCCGTTTCCTTGATGAGTTTTTTGCTATGCATATGTATGATGATTCTGTGTTATTTGATGTTTTACTTTTCTAAAAGTTTCCAATAACTATTGTTTATTTTGATACAATACTGTCAATTTGATAGATGATGATGTGACAAAAAAAATTTTTTTTTTTCATTTACCTTTTACAGCTCATTCTTGTTTTGTTCATTTTATTTACCTGACGATTATCGTCGTTCTTTTGATCATGAGATTGGATTTTCTTTATCTTTTTCATGACCTTTTGATAGCTGCAGTATTTTTTTTTTTCAAGTATATACATTTAATTGTATCATTGATTCATATGTTTGCATGTAAGATTTGGAGATCTCACAGTTTTGTATTAAAGATAATTTATAATTTAGCTATTTATGTAGCTATTAGATACATAACATAATTATAAGAATATTTTACAAGTTTGATAAACGATAACAAATCTTGCATTTACATATTTTTAGAAGTATCATGATGGGTTTGTGTGTTAGAATAAGCACCTATAAACCTAGTCTACATTTCTTAGATGATATTTGACAACATGTGTTAATTCGTGTATTTCATCCATCCAGTTATCTACCTTTCTATTGGAATCTATAATCTATTAGATAAACGTATATATCTTTTCAGCACTAGTCATGTAATAAAAAAAAATAATCTGTAAATACCAAGATTCAAAATTTGAATATGCAGACTTTTCATCATAAAAAGTCTCCAGCATTGACGATTTCGAACTATGTTTTAATGAGACATAATAATACTGCATTATACTCTATGTTTTTTATGCTATATTTTCAGGTTTATTTTCATTATGGGAACATCAATGAATTTTTCATTTAAAGGAATGATCAGAAGAAATAATACAAAATGTCAGATATTACTGAAAATAATCAAACGATCTGCGCTTTTGTTTGCCTTTGGTATTATTCTCAACACAAACTGGGGCCGTAAGTACATAGCTTCATGATCGATGTCTTTGCTATTGTTCTCAACACTAACTGGGGCCGTAAGTATATAGCCTCATAATTGATATGAATAAATGAAGATGTGAGGTCTACGTCATTGTGACGACAATAATCCAAGAAAAACAACCAAAAGACTTATTGAGAACGACGTCGACGTGACATTTTTCTTAATACATAAAATATAGTGACATTATTATATTATCAAACACTAAACAGGGTCTGCAAACCCGACTTGATAACCTGCAAACTTATTGTATTGATTGGTGTCTAGATGTTAACTTGTCCAAAACAAAAGTTTTAATTTTTAACAAGCCTGGAAAATTTTTGAAGGAATCACTTTGTTTAGATAATGAGGCTATAGAATGTGTTAACAGATATAAATATTTAGGGATAGTCTTTACTTCCAGTGGTCTTTTTCAGCAGGGGAAAGAAGAGCTATTCAAAAAGTCCTTAAAGGCAAAATTTAAACTACAAAAATCCATGTCAGCTTGTAATCCAAGTATTGATACTGCAATCCATTTATATGATCACACAATAAAACCAATTTTATTATATTGTAGTGAAATCTGGGGTACCTTTAAGATTAACTCTGCTGCTTGCAAGAAAAAAAGTGATTATCTATTTGAATTAATTTACATAAATGATTATTTTGAAAAATCACATTTCAGGTATCTAAAATATATTCTTGGTGTAAATAAAAAAGCCTCAAATTTGGCAGTGTTATCAGAGGTTGCAAGATTTCCTCTTTATTTTTCTGTCATTATATCTATGGTAAAATATGTACACAGGCTTAACAAATTGGACGATGGGTTACTTTATGATGCTTATGTTTGTAATAAACTTTTAGATGCAGGAAACATTAATTGTTGGTATTCATCTATGAGATATGTCCTTCAATCACTTGATATACAAAATTTGAATACAAAGCTCAATAGATTAATTAAATTTGTAAAATGTAAACTTTGTAACAGTTTTAAAACATTTTGGGGGGTCAAAAGATCTGATACCTTATCACAAGGTAATAGTAAATTAGAAAATTATTTCAACCTCAAGACTGACTTCGTAAAGGAGGCTTATTTATCAATTAAAGATTTTAATATAAGAAGTGCTATATGTAAATTGAGAATAAGTGCACATGATCTTAAAATTGAGAAAGATAGGTATAGTAAAAAATACATAGAGAGAAGTCAGCGTCTATGTCATCACTGCCTATCACATGGATCAAATTCTATTGAAGATGAGACCCATTTCACAGTAAGTTGTCCTTTATATAACGAACAGAGAAAATTATTATGGGATAAAGTAAACAGTTTTTGTAATAATTTTAAAGAATTGCCCAAGGATAAAAAATATTTCTGGCTGTTCACAAATGAGCATTTACCAACTCTTATGTGCCTAGGCAATTATATAATTAAGTGTTTAGAAATAAGATCCAGGTGGATACAAAATATATAAAATTATTATGCAATTATTGTTAATGTTATGTAAGACACATGATGTGTTAGGCTCTGATCCTGTCCAATATATGATAGTATTATATTAGGATATAGTTTTTCTTTTTTCCAATCATATTGTGCTTAATATTGTTGTAAATGATGCCCTTTATGGGTTCTTGATTAGATTAATAAAATTCTTATCTTATCTTATCTTATCTTATAGTGATTGGTGTTATCCTCCAATGCTATCACTGTTTATTACGACAATTATAACATATCCGTCGACATCTGTGAAACAGATATTCCATAACGGTCACCCAACTCGTGATGGCAATCGTAAAATTTTCGAAGGGAGGATTAATCTTCACCACTTGGAACTCTTGGTCTTATAGCGTCCTTGTAAGCAGCAACTCACAAGGAGGAAATCATGACAGGAAAAGCAAGCTGTGGAATATCAACTAAGAGATGTATACTCAAAATGCAGGCGCTCTTGGAATGCTGCTGCATAGATATGGAAAGATCACAATAGGGAAGCTGAAATAATCTCTTTTGTCTTAAAGTTTTGTTCATAATTGACCTTCATTGTTAATTACAACATGAGTTTGCAGAATTTATTGTGGAGGTAGAGACAAAATGAACATAGCTTTACCGACGCACCGACTACCTGGAGGATTAAATACCGTGAGAATTAGTGCCTTACATACCGTCATCCAGTTGTAGTGAATATAACGCACCATGCGCACTGAAAAATACAATAATAGGTACACTCGAGTTCAAAAATTAGGTGTACCCAAAAAGGCTTTTAAAAGTCATTAATATAAAAATAAGAAGATGTAGTATGATTGCCAATGAGACAACTCTCTACAAGAGACCAAATGACACAGAAATTAACAACTATAGGTCACCGTACGGCCTTCAACAATGAGCAAAAACCATACCGCATAATCAGCTATAAAAGGCATCGAAATGACAATGATAAAACAATTCAAACGAGAAAAGTATATTATTTTCTAAAATGTATTCTCTTTCAGCCATATATGTGGAGGATTTCATGAAAGGCATTTTTGTAGCGCTTTGGTCGCATGGAATTTATAACGTGTTGTTTTTTGTAGCTGTTGACTTAGAACATATCCGGATACCCGGTGTATTACAAAGATTTAGTCTTACGTACCTTGTTTTAGCTATCATTGAGCTAATATTTATAAGAAATTACAATATTCCAAAGGTAAGACAAATTATATTAATTAGCATTTAAAGTTGAAGTAAAGCAATTTTCTAATACAATCATACCGTTCTTTGGTTTAAACCTTAGAGGTGGCACGGTAGTATTTACATTCCGGAATTTAGGTTGCTCTTTTGTGTACCCTACTTAAGTCAATGTATCTGAACAGTATGATTGGACAAAAAATACAGTATCTACTGAACATACTTTCCAAAACTGAGGGACGAATCAGGTGTTGAAAAATATGAAATAATTTTACATACAGGTGAAAATGAATTTTTGAGAATTTTTTTAAATTTTGTATTCACTACATGACAAAAGACATAAAAGCACTAGTGGCCTTAGGTTTATAAAGATAGCAAAAAAAGTAAACGGTCATCATACATATTCAAATTAATTTTTGAATATTATAATGAAAGTACTTCAATTAACTGTGTATGTAGAATTTTGGGCAGTGTTAGAAAGTGGTGAAAATTCTAAAAAGGCTATCATTATCCCTATGGGCCAGGAAATACTACCGTGCCACCTTAACTGGTATATATATGATGTACACTAAATTAATTAATGTATTTTTTTTTACTTATTCAATTTGTAAGTTTGTCAATAAAAAGTTGATTTAGGGCAACTAGAATAAGAACAGCCCTTAAATTCCACCACTGGGAGTGAAAATTGCTGATTCAGCAAATTTTGCGTGATCTGTGGGTAATAATGTCAAAATTTAACTAGAAAGTAGAACTTTATAAATTTAATGTAACTGGTAATAGATTTTTAATTATAAATGCTCGCTTTAACTTTTCGCAGTGTCTGACACATGTGCAACCACTGGAATTGCGACATATTTTAGTTGCCTGTATATCCTGTAATTTTCACCGAAATTAATAAAGTGCATGATTTTTTATTTTTTTTCGACACAAGTACAGCTATACTAGTTTTCTTCAGGTTTAATTTGTAGTTTTGTGGTAACATGACACCAGTATGAGCTTTTTTGGGACCAGTTAGTGGTTAAGGGGTCCTTACTTATTCAATTAGCCCCATATTTAGCTGAAATAGAGTTAGCATTAGGGGTTTCTTTACATTGATAGAGACAATTTTGTTGGACAAAGAATGTGATTATCAATGTTTGTCAGATAGATTAGAGAGTTTATTTATTTTCTATGCAAATGTCATTAATTGTTTTGATTCTTTGATCCTGAAAAGCACAAAAAAGGAAAATTGATTATGTAAGGGGACATAATTTAACTTAATGCATACATGAGAAAGAGACAAACAGCCAACTTAGAGATATATTCTAGTACATGTATTGTTAAAAAGATTTTAGAATAATAGTTTACTGCCATCTAAAGAATCTTGTGATGTTGCCTACATAATCTTGAAATGATTAAAGGAATGTAAGCCATGCTGTAAAATGTGGAATGGACTTTACTATCTTTTTTCATGATTTGGTACTTATACTGTTTCTTTCATTCAGATTAAGTAGAAATAGAGTTGGCAATCCAATAATTCCTCCTGAATCACCATGTTTTACTTCTGTGCTGATTTTAGAAATTATATATTTGGTTTTTGTTCACTCCTTAAGTAAAAGTGGTAAGATAAGTGAAAATCTGCCAGCTGGGGTAGGGGTATAATCTTTTATTTTTTTTTTTTTGGTAAGAAATAAGTGCAGACTTATATTCTTTATTGTAATACGTTTCCTAGTAAGAAGTCTATCCATCATAGCTGTCATGACTGGTTTCAAGTTTGTGATGTCTTTGTTAAGGTGGCACGGTAGTATTTACATTCCGGAATTTAGGTTGCTCTTTTGTGTACCCTACTTAAGTCAATGTATCTGCACAGTATGATTGGACAAAAAATACAGTATCTACTAAACATACACTCCCAAACTGAGGGATGAATCAGGTGTTGAAAAATATGAAATAATTTTACATACAGGTGAAAATGAATTTTTGAGATTTTTTGGCAGAATTTTGGGCAGTGTTAGAAAGTGGTGAAAATTCTCAAAATGCTATCATTATCCCTTTGGGCCAGGATATACTGCCATGCCAACTAGAAGATATAACTATAGACCCCGTTCATAGTCATAGCAACAATATATCCGAAATCGCTTTAACTCCTCGTTTATTTATATACATCATTCATAGTTACTTTGAATAATGATTTAATAAGATTCAATTCATCCAATTTTATATTTGTTGTGTATGGCTATAATTTTGTATGTATTTTAGGAAAGAGGCTGTGCTCCACTTAATGATATCATATCTTTGGCACCTCAATGGATTATTTCTCTTGGTATTCTTGCGGCTTATCTTGGACTCACATTCAAGCTAGAATTTCCAGGATGTCCAACGTTTGTGTGATATTATTATTATTGTATTTATTGGCTATTTAGAAATACCCAAACAAATACAAACGATGAATACTCTTCTCCAATTAAAGCTTGATAAAAGCGTTTACAATCTACACTGACAAAGTTTCTTGAATAAACTTCATCTGGCACACACGATATAAAATGTTTTGAAACCAAAAGAAAAAAACTTTGGAGAGCACAAAAACAAAATGGTGGGAATCATACCACATCTTCATATTCATATACTTTTTTTATTCAAAATTTGATAAAAGCGTATAAAATAGATTTCTATACACATTACACGATTATTTGGTATACCTGGTACAAGATACAAAATTTAAAACTGTATCTGCACGTACTGCTATATAGCAAAAGAGGCAAAAGATATCAAGGGACATTAAAAATTCATAAGTCGACTGACAACGCCATAGCAAAAACGAATAATCACGAAAAAAAACAAACAAGTCCACAAAAACAGAACATAGAAAAATAAAAAATGATTAACACGAACACTATCAAAAACCGAGGTGATCCCATATGCTCCGGAAGGGTACACAGAACCTGTTTTACATGTGACATATACGATGTTCATCACTATTAAGTTAAGTTTGGGTGACTATGTTGACTGCATCTATTCCATTGAAATTGAAATAACGTATACCACAGATACAATTAAGTCTGTTTCATATCTTGCCTTTCATTTTGAAATTGCCAATGAGATTAGGTTGAGAACTAAACTTTACGAAAAAGCAGAGTTTTTAAACGTATTATATTTTCCAAAAGACAACTTCCTAATATCTTCTCCAAAACAAATAAACATATATCTGACGTTAACAAATCTTTTTATCATAAGTGTATGAAAAGGGAAATAATACAAAGAATGTTTATACGATACCTAAACAAATAGTTTTAGTGAAGAAACAAACACAACCCCATGTGTAAAATAATAGATATGTAATATAATGACAAGAAGAGATGGTATACACCAAGACATCTTAACAACAAAGGCACATATAGAGATAAAAATATGTGCAAATTTGATGAGTATTTCCATGTTCATACAAGGATGGATGTAAAAATAATTGTTATCGTATGAACTCGAATGGCAGAAAGACCAGATGCGTCTACAAGATACGCATCTCCAACCATGCATGCAGATCACCTGTCGTCAGATATCATATAATAGTAAAAAAATAAGCGACTTGCCTTTACCAGACACCTTCAAAAGCTGAAGGAAAGTAACAGTTATACTTAATTAACGAATTTGAAGAAGAATTTTTTTTTCGATAAACTAGAAAGTATCCTATAATAGTAGTCACAAATGGAGCTCACATATCATGAAGTTTTGTATTTATACAGTGGTTATATTGGACCTGGTGGATTACATGAAGGCGGTAAATACTACAACTGTACAGCAGGGGCAGCACAATATATAGATGTGTTTGTGCTTGGTAAAAATCATATTTATGGCAATCCAACTCCTAAGGTAAATACTATAACTGTTCAGCAGGGGCAACACAGTACATTGATGTGTTAGTGCGTAAACTACTAAGGTAAGAACTTCATTGTTGTTATATATACAGTGGATATATTGAACCTGGTGGATAACACGAGGGAGGTGAATGCGATAATTGTACAACAGGAGCAGCACAATACAATGAGGTGATAGTTGTTGGTGGAAATAAATCATATCTACTGCCATTCAACTCCTAATGTAAATGCTGTAACTGTTCAGCAGGGGTAGCATAATACATAAATACATAAAGGTGGTGCTGCTTGGTGAAAATCATATCTATGGCAGTCCAACTCCTAAGGTAGATAATATAACGGTACAGCAGGGGCAACACAGTACATAAATGTGTAAGTGCCTGGTAAAACTCATGGCCATCCATCTCCTAAGGTAAATGCAATAAATGTGCAGAAAGGACAGCACAGTACATCGATATGTAATATCATGGTAAAACAAATGTCTATACAACTACTAATGTAAATACTATAACCGTACACTTGGAGCAGCCCAGTACATCTATGTGTAAGGGCTTGGTAAAACTTATGTCTATGGCTATCCAACTCCTAAGGTAAATACTATAACCGTACACTTGGAGCAGCCCAGTACATCTATGTATTTCTAAGACATATTGAAAAAAATATTTTCATAATTCATAGCATGTGACAATAACTTCATATCCACGTTGCAATTAAGAATTTTGCAAACAAATCAACCAAATATGATATATTTCAATTTTATTGTATGATATCACTTATTTATTTATTGTGTGTCTTGCTTGTAAATGTATAAGTATATATTTAATTGTTAATGTATAATTGTTATCCTCGTGTAGCACCATACGTGTGCCTTATTTGTAATAAATTGTCTTGTCTTGTCTTGTCTTGTCTATGTGTAAGGGCTTGGTAAAACTTATGTCTATGGCTATCCAACTCCTAAGGTAAATACAATTACTGTACAGCAGGGATAGCACACTACATCGATATGTAAGGGCTTGGTAAAACTCATGTCACCAAACAACTACTAAGGTAAATACTGTGGATTCATAATTGTTCGTTGGATACCAATTTTCGTTGATTTCGTGGGTACAGGTAAACCACGATTTTAAATGTGTAACGCTTTACAAATTTTCTATAGGCTTTGTATGCAGAGATCGGCAAAACCACGAAATCAAATATCCACGAAAATTCAAGTTTTCTACAACCCGCGAAAATTGATACAAACGAAAATAAATTGATTCACAGTACTATAACGGCACAACAGGGACAGCACAATACATAGATGTGTTACTGCTTGGCAAAAATCACGTCTATGGTCACCAAACTCCTAAGGTGATACCTGTATTGTTCTGTTCTTGGTTAATGTAAATATTGATATAGAGAGAAATTCAAACAATTATATTAAACACTGTTTTCGTTGGACTTTTATGAAAAAAATACTTCCCGCTTTGTTTCTTTTTTCCTGTAAAACACATATACTATCCCACAAAGTAATTTAAAGACACATGTAATGATGTTTTCAAATGTTTACAGAAGATATACCAAACAACCGCACCACATGATCCTGAAGGAATTCTGGGAACTTTGACATCAATATTTCTTTGTTTTTTGGGTTTACAGGTAAGATAATACGATGTTCATTGACGAAAACAGGACTAAGTTTTCCAGAAAACCATATATATGTTGTATAATACAAATATTTAACATATAATGTTTCATTTACATATATTACTACAACAAAAGAATTTTTTCATTGTCTTCTATGAAAAAAGTGCACTTGAAACAGAAGTATAGCTGTTTGGGTGAGTAGCTTTCATTTCGACAATAAACCTCTAACAAGATAACCTAAACAAACAAACTTTTTTTTATCTTGAAACTATATAATACATATACCATAAAATATTTTTCAATACTAGTACACGAAGTATTAATTTTTTGCAGATAATCCAGATGAAAACCGTTGGTTCACAATAATTTGTTTTTTTACAGTACCGAAGTACGCAAAAAAAAAATACTTCCGAAAAAAACTCTGTCATTTTTACAATTATTTGATATGATAATAACTAGACTAAAAGTCCTTTCTTTTGGTTTTGTATGAGAAACAAGGTGCTATCATTTTTATTTAAATCGCATAATGGGTTTTTCTCAATTTTATCGTGTACTTCAAATCGATGTTATACAGTAATGCTTTTGAATATTGAGCAAAACTTTCGAACAAAAATGATTTGAAGAAGATAACAAAACAAGCAAACATGATAAATGGGGTCAATTTTCAGTTATGTTAAAGTCGATATCTTTTGTGACTACCACATACAGTTAACACTATTCTGCATCTCCTGGCCTTAGTCGGATCAAATGTATAATTTTGCCCTGTGGTATTCTCTTCCTTTAATTTTGCAACGCTTGAATGGGCTGTTCGAATGATGAAGATTGGGGTTCGCGTTTGCGGACGAGTCAATCAAATTAGTTCCAAAGATGATCTATGGGATTCCAATCCATCGACTTTGAGGGCTATTGCAATACATTAATCTTCTTCCTACTTAAGCTACAATTGCTGTATGGGCCGGATATCGTCCTGCTAAAACTCCCCCTCTGTCAGTCAGTTAAGTTGTGCATATGTGACTGAAAAATATCGTCCCTAGAACGTTGATCCGTTATATGTTCCTTGGACAAGCATTATTTTTGTTATGCAGTTGCAGAATATTGCTGCCCACATTTTGACGTTTCCACCGCGAAATCCAATTTCTATATGTAGACAGGAGCAAGACGAAGCCAGCAGTATACGCGGGTTCGTTCATCATATCTTTGGAGACCAAACTTTCAATGTATGACACCAACGAATATGTGCACCTCGGTTTACCTTGGTCAACACTTTTCCAACATAAGGTCTTCTTGACAAATTTTCGCATTTATTATGGACTGTTTTTGCGTTAATTTTCTAAAGATCTGGGATACTAGCTGCACTAGTTGTAGCAGGGACTGTACTATTACGCAGGTTGAATACCTAGGTAAACCAATCTTTGGCCGTAGTAGTGATGCTTGGGTGATGCTAAGCTGATCCTGTTTGATTTTTTCTCTTTCAAATATGTGAAATTGTTCTCTGGTCAACGTTGAAATATTAGACGATTTCAGACAAATTCGATTTCTGATGTCTTAAAGCTTATTTTGTGTTGGTCTTTTTTGTTGGACGGATAAGATTTCTGCACTTTTAATGCTTATCTGGATTTTGTCGGGGTCGGATATCGACTTTCAATGGCCCTTCGGTTTGTTGACTTCCTTGTAACGCATTCTTGGATTTGCTATTATTTTTTAACTTATAAATGAAAGTTATCATGTTTAAAGTTAAACAAACAATCGGCTTTTATATTTCTAGATAAAATTGAATAAATAAACTTGTCAAGTAGTCATAAAAATAAATGAATAACGGACAGCTATTATTCAAACATTTATATTTCAGTCTGGCAGAATATTGATTTGTTTTCAATCGCATAAAGAAAGAATCATTAGATGGGTTATCTGGGGTATATTAACAGTAAGTAAAAATTCGTGTTATGTAAAAGAGAGAGAGAGAGAGAGAGAGAGAGAGAGAGAGAGAGAGAGAGAGAGAGAGAGAGAGACGGCGTCAATTTGTAGGTCAATGATTATTTGAAATAATCGGGGCGGAGGGACAAACCAAAAAGGGGGCCGGTTAGATGTATTATCAATTCCCTCATGAATTCTTTTAATTTGAATATACCAAATGGATTAACGATATAGTAGTAAGGAAATGTGGTATGGTTTCCAATGGAACAACTATCAATAGACCGAAAGACAAAGGTGTGAACAGTTCGAGTTTGAACATCGGTAAACTGTTGTGTCATCTTATTGACAGTCATTTAAACTTCGGTTGTCAATCATACACTTGTGAAATGAATGTTCTTCTGACTCATCAAAATGGTGCAAACCGCACACTTACATTGCAGAAGTTACAAAGCGTTTGTTTTTACAATTCACTTTGCAGAATATTTTGCAAGTACTATCTCTAACTTAACAAAGAGAGGCGAAAGATTCTAAAGGAGCATTCAAACTCATTTTTCCTTGACTGTTAATGACTTCTTTACACAAAATCCATAGGATGTTGAATGTGTCCTGATTGATACTTTAGTCTTAGATACATGATTTTTTCATAACTTGTTATTGGTCTTGAACTACCTGTCAGCATCTGCGAGGACTCTAAGATCTGTACTTTGTGTCTTTTTTGTTGTAGGGGATGTATAAATACCCTGCAACGTCCGGTCTGTGTTTTTGTTACTTGTTTTTCTGCTTTGTATCGATCTGATGAGTTAAGCTCTTTTCAACTGATTTTGATAGTTTGTTCATATGTTGTATTGTTACACCACTGTCCCAGGTTATGGGAGAGTTGGGCGCCCGCTAACATGTTTAACCCCGCCACATTCTGTATGTAGATGTCCCAAGTCAGGAGCATGTAATTCAGTGTTTGTCATTTGTTTCTGTGTATCATATTTGTATTTCGTTCATTGTTTTAACACAAACCAGGCAGTTATTTTTATCTTTTCAATTGTTTTACATTTGTCATTTCGGGGCCTTTTATAGCTGACTATGCGGTATGGGTTTTGCTCATTGTTAAGGCCGTACGATGACCTATAGTTGTTAACTTCTATGTCATTTGGTCTCTGGTGGAGAGTTGTCTCATTGGCAATAAACTAGCAACGCAAAAAGACCAAAACACAAACAATAGCAAACAACACACAACATAGAAAACTAATGACTAAGCAACACAAACCCCATCAAAAACCGGGATAGATTTCAAGTGCTAACAAAAAATGAAATGTATAATTAGTTTTTTTTTTATTGTTCACGTTTTGTGACTGTTTGAAATCCACCATTTTTAACACCACCAAGATGTCTAGCTTTAAAACTAATTCAAATAATATGAAAATTTGAATTTAATTGTTATCCTGACTTTTTGACAGGGAGTTGTCGGTGGCGTGTTATGCAAAGGGTCGCAAAATGATGGATGGATTCCTCTAAATAAAAATCTTTGGTAAGTAATTTGAACATACCATTTTTCTGCTGTAGCTGTAAGATTTCAGTCATTGTAATTATATAGTAAAACATAATGACATATATCAGTAGTAGTCATCACTTCTGTCTTGACATGAATTTTCATTGATATAGTCATAAATATAAATTAACAGTTAACAAAACTTAGTACTTTTCGAAATACTAAGGATTTTCTAACCCAGGACTAGCTTACCTTAGCTGCCTTTATCAAAACCTTTCTAAATTTCGGGTCCTCAATGCTCTTCAACTTCGTACTTTTTATCTTTTCTGATTCGTGATGGGTCTCTTTTGTAGACGATCATGAGTCTAGCGTACAAAATAGTAAGCCTGGTATCTATGATGAGTTTATATAAATGCTTTTCCAATGAAAAACAAATTAAATAAATAAACAAGTAAAATATAAATACGAGATACACAAAATGAAAATAGCACTATAAAGCTTTCAAAAATTCGAAACGCCCCTCTGAAGCCGTTCGCATCAGGAACACCCAAAACCAAAAACCAAAAATCCGAAAGCCGAATATTCAAATACCAAGCCAGGTCAAGAGTCATACGATAAAAAGAGACATAATAGTAAAAAGATTAAAAATATTAAAAGGATTCACAATGTCAACACTTAAATTCTGCAACCAAGATCATCCTGTATTATTTGTGTATTTGACACTGAATATTTATCGTTAAGGTCTTGGTACTTTCGATTCCAAAAAAAAAAAATGAAACTAGCAGCGTTATTACAACATCAAGATATTTATCCTTCGGGTGGTCATATCATTGACAAAAATCCAGTTCCAAAAAATACTTGACCTTGAAAGATCATCTTGTCATGTTGTTGATAAACATTAGTACTTATTTGGATGACAAAGTGTTTAGCTTCATAATCTATCGTTTTGTCCATATCTGATTGAACGTTTTAATTTTTTCAAGGTCAATATCCTTTATCTTAGTCACAGCATCCTTTGCCTTTCTGTTATTATCAGCAATGTACGTTGCAATAGACATCTTAAAAATATGGGAAGGAGATCCATTTATCTATCCCGGTAGGTATGATACAATTAAAGGAAAATATGAAAAGAACATCCCAGTAGGTGTAATACGATTAGAGGAAATAATGGGAAGAACATCCCGATAGGTATGATACGATTAGAGGAAACTATGAAAAGACCATCCCAGTAGGTATGATAAGATTACAGGAAACTATAAGAACAACATCTTGGTAAGTATGATACGATTATACAAAACTATGAGAAGAACATCAACATATCTATGCCAGTATGTATGAAACGAATAGAGGAAATTCAAGGGAAGGAGAGGAATTTATCAATTCTAGTGGGTATGAATCGATTAGAAGGAAATTTTGGGAAGAGATTTGTTTATCTTTCTCGGTAGATATGATATGAATATAAGAAATTATTGGAAGAAGATCCATATTATTATTCCGGGTAGGATTGACAGGGTAAGAAGAAATCATGAGAAGGAGTTTAATGATCTATCCCGAATATATGAAACATATGATAAATTTATTAAAAACCGATAAACGTAGATAGTTCTTTGTCAGGAGTCACGTGATTTTTGTTACTTTCATGACTTTTTGTCAGGTTTTTAAATGAATTATTCACTATATGCAATGGAACAATTGTTTACAAAAAACAGTTTTTGGTTTCAGGACATCGTGATGTTCATTCTTTTAATTTTTATTGTATTGTTTTGTGGACCGTTTATGTTGTTGTCAGTAAGAACTTGACTGTCATCTCTGCCTGTAATTAATACATATTCAATTTTCAATATTTCATGTATTTACTTATTTTAAGTATCTGTAATTACATATTTATACGTGACACCACTTAATACAAATAACATCAGAAAATCTGACTGACTAATGTATCGAATTAATATTTCAGGAATGAATTCAATAGTGGTTTACTGTTGCCATGACATTTTCTACAGATTTTTCCCGGTCAGCTGGAAGATCCATGATGATCACTTAAGTCTTCTATTGAAGGCAGTTTGGGATACGGCAATTTACGTTGTGCTTGCGTATGTAATGTTCAAGAAGAAAATATTTGTTGCACTCTAAACAGCTACATGATATGTTGGACAACAACCAATTTTAAAAAGACAGTACATTCTATTGATGATATTTGCAGAACTTTGATCATGTATAGTTGGTGTCTTTCTTTTATTAATATTTACATAAATAAAATTATTTACTTTTGATTTGATTTGATTTTTATATGAAATTGTTCATGTAGGAAGATATAAGCAGGAGCAAAATTTACTTACCCTTCGGTAGCACCTGGGGGTTGGTGATGCTCGGTCTGTAGTTTTCTATGTTGTGTTTTGTTTAATGTTGTTTGTCTTTTGGTATTTTTTTGGTATTTTGCCATGGCATTGTTGGTTTGTTTTCAACTTATGAGTAGTTTGAATGTCCCTTTGGTATCATAAGATGTTGGTAAAGTTATCATTACCTTTCATTCTTTTTTATTATATTTTTGTTACGTCTGTAGTTGACCTAAGTAAGGTTTTGGCAATTCTGTTAGTCCTTGTCGAATGAATAGTGTCATGCACAATGGAATGAATATAATCCATAAATAGTTTGTGACTTCATGTACAGGCAGCCCTTATGTAAGATGTATCATACATCATTAGAGAATCTGGAATGTGTTGTTATGATTGATTAATTGTTTCTTGCCTAACTTTCAGTGCGTGTTATTATGAAACTACATACGAAAAAATATTTCCAAATCTAAAAAGAAACATGTTTTGTTGATGATGATATATTTGATGTCGTCATGTTTTGTTATAATTGGTGTCTAATATGAAAGTACCAAAATTAAACCCACAAAAATAGAATATTGACAATTAAGTGTAAAAATTCGTATCATTATTATCAGATATAAAATTACGAAATATTATTTAATTTGATGACAAAAATAACAGTTGCACTAATTATAAAATACTAGTATATTTCATGGTATAACAGCTCTTATTAATGGTCCCTTTTCATATGAATCGGAGTTCCTTCAGACACTTGTCAAAAACAAGAAGATCAAAGAAGCCAGATATTTAATTTCACTTTCAGATATATTGATGATGTTCTTTCCATTTCCAATCCGAACTTTTCTGATTGGGTTCCATTAATATATTCCCCAGAACTAGAAATTAAAGAAACAACAGACACGGCTTCCTCCGCCTCATTTTTAGACTTATACCTCGAATTTGACATACACAGTCATCTGAGTACCAGAATCTATGACAAACGAGACGATTTTAATTTGGAAATTATCAATTTCCCCCACCTTAGTAGCAATATACCAGCTTCACCTGCATATGGGATATACATTTCCCAACTTATTCGATATTCAAGAGCTTGAAGCTCCTACTCAGACTTTGTAAAACGTCACCAGTGTCTAAACAGAAAGCTGATGAACCAGGGGTATGTCAAAGAACGTCTCGTCCTTTTTCTAAAAAAGTTCATCGGAAGGTACCAAGACCTTGTTGATAAATATTCCGTATCAACTTCACAAATAATACATGATGGTCTTGATGTATAGATTCTGCATACTGACGTTGCTTATCATCTTGATAACGTGTTATATTGTTCTTTTATTTGTCTTTGTTCTATTATTAATATTACCTTTACTGTTTGGTCTGTTTTCTGTGATATCCATTTGACGTGGCTCGGTACTTATACATCCCGTCGATGTGTTTGTATTATCTTTCATTTTTGCTGGTGTGTTTTGTACGTGTGACTTTATGTGTTTCTTTGGTACATATGACGTGGCTCTGTACTTTTAAAGATCCCACCATTTTGTTATTGTTCTATTATAATACCATTATGTTATTGTTCTATTATAATTTTGAAAATACTTTGAACGACAAAATTATTTTACTCGCGTAGTGGTATTAACCATATGTAGATTCTCAAAAATTCTAAAGAACTTCTGGCTAATTTTAAATCTCGGTCTTTTTCTGAAATTAGTTCTAACAAAAACTTTTGATTTTTCAAACCTGTATACCACCATTCCCCATGTGAAATTATAATTTTTGAAAATACTTTGAACGACAAAATTATTTTATATTTCTTCCTGTGTGACGTTTACATTTTCTGGCGTCAAACACGCGACTCTACACTAAGAGCTAAGAGCAGATATGAATGCAGTCACAGGACTTTAAATATTTTAATCCTTTATGGGTTGATTTATAATACATTTATAAACAAGCAATGAATGTGGTTGTTAAATTTGATAGATGCTTTTTGTGCTTCTTTGTTAAATGTTTGTTTGTTTTGAGATTGTGACACAGTGATGACTGTTGTACACATATTTTGACAATGTTACCTATTATGTCTGTTTTGTTCACGCATCGTTGTAAATATAATGGAATTTGATGCGACTGTCATACAAGTGGGAGGTTTAGCGCTATAAAACCAGGTTCAACCCACCATTTTCTACATTTGAAAATGCCTGTACCAAGTCAGGAATATGACAGTTGTTGTCCATTCGTTTGAGTGTTTCAACATTTGATTTTGACATTTGATTAGGAACTTTCCGTTTTGCATTTTCCTCGGAGTTCAGTATTTTTGTGATTTTACTTTTTACTTGATTACATGAATATATTACTATAACAAGACCTATAACAATATATATAATGATAATTTCAAATAATCTACCCTCATCGTATGATTATATTTAATACAATATTTTAAGATTAATTAGCCCTTGTCATGAACATACCGGTTTTTGTCCAAACTGGACACCAACAGCTAAATCAACAATGAATTGATAGTCAGTAGGCTAAATCACTATACGATATGGACACATAGTTCAAAAATTTTGACACACTAAAACCACTACTGTTTTTGTAAAAACCGCCAAAATACCCCTACACCAAAATGTTTCGGTTAGCGTTATTTAAAAAAAGAGAGGCGAAAGAAACAAAGGGATATTCAAACTCATAGGTTGAAAACAAACTGGCAATGACATGGCAAAAAACGAAAACGACGAAAAAACAGACAGTACACAAAACACAACAAAGTAAACTAAAACTAAGCAACACGAACCCCACCAAAAACCGAGGTTGCTCTCGGGTACTCCGGAAAGGTAAGAAGATTCAGCTCCACGTGTGGCACCCGTCGTGTTGCTTATGTAAGTACAAATCGGGTAAAGCGCGAGCCAGATGAACCAGAACTGACACTTTGTCTGGATGGATCAAAGCTATCCGATCATGCCTTCAGAAGCGCATTCAGAAACTACGATGTACTATGAGCACTACGGTTTCTTACCCATTCAAGAACCAGGAGGTTGTGGATGATTTATCCTTTTTGCATGACAAATCTATCGTTGTTCTAGCAGATAAAGCCTCCAATAATATTGTCTTCATATGTAAAAACCATTACTTGGAATGTCTCGCAAAAGAGCATGGAATAAACAGCAAAAGTGGTAATCCTACATATTCTTTTACATCATTTACAAAGGATGAAATTTTAGAAAATCACAAATCTGTCCTTCTTTCGTTTGGTATAAAAATCAAAGAAAACGAAAAAAAAATCTACCGTCATTATACTGGAGACCAAAACTTCACAAAACTCCTTATAAAGAACGATACATAGCTGGATCATCAAGATGTTCGACTAAACATCTTTCTAAAGTGCTGACTACTATTCTTTCTACAGTAAAAGATGGCCTTCAAAAATATTGTAATTATTCAACCAGTGGTGTCAATCAGATGTAGATTCTTAAAAGATCTACTGCTAAATCTTATACCACAATCTCTGCAATTTTGCAGCAAAATTAAGACTTGATTTTTCTACACTTTACACTGTAATTCCTAATGCTCAATTGAAAGATCGACTTCACCATCTCATTAAACAGAGCTTTGTCTATAAAAATGGGAATCGTAGATATAAATTTCTTGTTTTGGGTTATAATAATTCTTATTTTGTGAAGAACCACACTGACCCTATCAGAAAATACACTGAAGATGATATTATCAAAATGCTACATTTGTATCAAAAAATTCAAACAAACATACAAACAAATTTGACAAAGACGCCGACAAAAAGTTATTGTAGTTCATATTAAATCTGACAAAGACGCCAACAAAAAAAAGGTTTTGTAACTGATAGTAAATACAGTAATGCCGTACTAGTATACACTTTCCCGATAAAGTACGAATTAAGCAAAATACAATAAAAGGGTAAACAGAATGAAAACAACACTGTAAAATCTCTTGCGTTCGAATCGCACCTCTAGACCTACCTGCACCAGGAGCCAAAAACCCGATAGCAAAATGCGCAAAAACAACGACACGTCAAACGTCATACGACCAAGACCATTTTGTATTATTCGTGAAGTAGACATTGAACATTTATCTATCAGGTCTTGGAACTTTCCAATGAACTTTTTGAGAAAAAGGACGAGACGTTCTTTGACAAAACACTGGCTCATTCATTTTTTGCTCACACACCGGTGACGTTTTACAGAGTCTAAGTAGCAGCTGCAAGCTTTTGAATATCGTATTAATAACGTGTGAGGTTGGTATATTGCTGCTAAGGTGAGGAGAAATGTGTGTCATAGATTGTGGTACTGAGATGACCGCTGTAGTCAAATTCGAGGTATATGTCTTGAAATGAGACGGAGGAATCTGTATCTGTTGTTTTTTTTAATCTCTAGTCATGAGGATATATTAATTGGATTCGTTTGATGTGTTTGAGATTTTGATTTTGCCATTTGATGAGGGACTTTCCGTTTTGAATTTTCCTTGTTATTTTACTTTTTGGATTATTAATGGACAGAAGATCATCAATATACCTGTATGTGTAATTAAATTATCTAACTTTGATCTTCTTGTTCTTTAAGAAGTGTCTGAAGGAACTCCGACTCGTTTGAAAATAAGAAAAGGTCGGCCAGGAGAAGTGCACAGTTGGTTCCCATAGGAAAGCCGACAACCTGCTAGAAAAATGTACCTCCAAATTCAACAAATATGTTGTGATTGAGAAACTCCAGTATACCGATCACTTGTTCTTCGGTGTAGTATGTTTAATTTTGGGGCTATTTTTTTTTTTTTTTTTTTTACAAAATCTGCCCAATTATATCCCAAAACAATGAGTTTATAGCGTGTGGTACCACTATTATAAAAGAAAGCATTGTGGATTATTACTTGTAGACGGGTTTTCAATTTTTCATGTGGTATAGAGGTGTAAAGGGTTGGAAATCGAAGGTTTTGAAACAATTTATTTCGGAGAATGACCGAGATTTAAAATTTCCCAAAGTTCTTTTGTTTTCTTAAGAATCCACGTATGGTTAATGTCACTACGCGAGTATACAGTATCACAATATTTCTGCAATCCCTCTTTCACTGGGGAAAAGAAAAAATGTAAATCTTGCTGACAGCTCCTTGGTGGAGCATGCAGATGAGCCGGCAATGAACCGTTGTTTGTACGGAGCTATATGAAGTTTAGGTATTCAATAAACAAATAAGTCCTCAGATTTGTTGTTAATTGAAATATTGAATGAGACCATGAAGGACTTGTGGTTTATCAAGATTTCATTCTTATCAACAGTTACGTTTTTGTACGTAGGATAACCCGAGTGTTCATTTTTTATCGTTAATAGAGGACTGACATCTCACAGCTTCTTTGTCTCTTAATACAGACTTTGGTCGAAAAATAGATTTATGGAAATCAAAACCAAACATGAAAAACATTTATTATCAGAATTATTCTGATGATATTAAACTGACTTGACTGATATTATCAAGATACTTGATTTCTTGATTGACAACATATTTGTTATGCTTAGAGGACGTTTTTTTGAACAAACAATCGGCGTTCCAAAGTGAACTAACTATGCTCCTTTTCTTGTCGACTCGTTCCTTAGCTTAGTTCATACGACACATTTGAACACATCGAAATTGAGATAAAGAATACAACGTATACAGTTGACTCTGCTTCATATCTTGACTTTCATCTAGAAATTGACAATGATGGTCGGTTTAGAACAAACAAAGCTTTACGACAAAAAAAATTATTTCAGTTTCCCGATTGTGAACTATCCATTTCTATGTAGCAAAAAGGTATAACAAAAATACCTAATTCCAAGGTAAGTTCAAAAAGAGGAAGTCCATACAAACTGACAAAATCAAAACTTTAACAAACAACTGAACGAAAGGAAAACAACTGTCATATTTCTGACTTGGTAAACGCATTTTCAAAGAAGATGATGGGTTAAACCTGGTTTTATTAGCTAGGTAAACCTACCACTTGTACAGCAACATTCCAATAGCGCCTGCATATGGAGTATATATACTTCCCAGATGATACGATATTCCAGAGTATTCCTATCATGATTTCCTTGATAGAACATTGCTGCTGGTAACAAAAATAAGAACAAAAATACCGAACTCCAAGGAAGCTTTTAAACAATAGTTCAAGTGGTGAAGTTGGAATTGTCCCTTCCGATATATCATGAGTTGGTTGACTGTGATTGAATTCAGTTTCACAGATGACGACCGATATGTTCCAACTGTTGTTACCACAATCCTGCTCTTTTTTTTCGAATGTGACTTACAGTATTAGACTTAACACCGGGTGTGTACCTACATGAGCAACATGACGAATGTCACATACTGGAGGACCGGAGATCATCCCCGGTTTTGGTGGGGATCAATTTGCTTAGTCTTTAGGTTTCTATGTTGTGTTTGTTTTTATAATGGTGTTTGTCTTTTGGTCGTTTTTCATTTTTGTCATGGTATTGTTAGTTTGTTTTGATCGCCCTTTTGTTATTTTTTGCCTCACTCACTTTCAAATTATAAACGAAAGGGCAAATTCTCTTCTATAAATATTTTAATTGGAAAATATTCATTTCATTTCTATTTATTAATACAACAAAATACGAAAATATTTCTTTATTTTCCATAAATATATAATTGCAATATAAAAAATATAGAAAAATATATATCAAATTGGTTATTTTTCTTTGCTGAGGTATGAATTTCATGTTGATTCAGGGACAAAGTTGGTGTTGATTGTAGAAATTCGTATTATTGTCCCTGAAATAGAACAATACAAATATGTTATTGTATTAACTGCAAAGAGTTTGACCTTATTTGGGGCAGCATTGAATGGATTCAACCAACATTTGCTATTTCATTAAGAAATTAATTAAATCCATTCATTTCATTTGGGAATAGCAACGAACAGTTCCTATTTCATTGACAAATTTGTTAAATCCATTAATTTTATTTTTAAATTGCAGCTTAACAACATTAATAACAATTTATTCATTTGGTGCGTTCAAAGCGTTTTCTGGATTATCTTTCATTAGGAAAAACAAAACCCCAGGAAATTTTAAAGCCGATGTATGAACACTTGAACACTTGAGATATTTGACGAAAAGGATATCAAAATTCCATAAAGTCAAGTTTGTCTGGGGGGCAATGGAGCCTTAGTTTTGTAACACATAAATTTAGAGAATTAAACATATAGGTAAGTTAAAAATCATTGCATTATCGAGGTACTGACTACTGAACTTCTTATACCATTGTGGATAATCAGTCCACCAGTAGCGGTATCGACATAGTGCTAGAAAATGAAAAGAACACTTAATAGTTTCAGCGAGTCCGAAGCGTTTTCTGTATAACCTAGATGAGGAACACTCAAAACTCAAAGTTTGAATACTAAAGAGGTGTAAGTACTATATGAGGAGCTATAATATATATAGACAGAATCCAACTACTGAATAGCATGCCCCTCATTTGGGAAAGGCAAAAATATAATGTAGCCTGAATGAGTTAGAATCTTAGTTTTTTAATAATTTTTTAAGATAGCCGTTGACTTATATTTGAAATCGCAAATTCTCTTCTATAAATATTTTAGTTGGAAAATGTTCATTTCCTTAATTATTTCTATTTATTAATACAACGAAGTACGAAAATATTTCTTTATTTTCCATAAACATATAATTGCAATATAAAAAAATATAGAAAAATATATATCAAATTAGTTATTTTTTGGTTGATATAGTCGAGCATTTGGTTTTGTCAGGTATTATGTACTTTCCCTTTTTTTGATTTACCTTGGAGTTCGCTATTTTTGTGAATACTTTTTTGTAGAAATTTGGATTGTTATTACAGCTTCTAGAGAATTCCTGATATTTCACCGTAACTTAATTCAGTGTTTATACATAAGAATTGTTATTAACGTTATATAATGTATATACATAAGAATTGTTACTCGATTTTCGTGAGAATACAGAACACTTTGATTTATTACGTTTTGTGTGTTTTATCCGTATGTCACGTCTTGAGTTTAATATTATGTATAGTCTTAAACTCAAGACGTGACATACGGATAAAACACACAAACGTAATAAATCAAAGTGTTCCGTATTCTCATGTCGATAAGTCTAAGGGGATCGTGTATATTTAATGAGTCTAGTTTGTTTTCTCTATTTAAACTTACAGCTGCTTTTTCACAAATGAAGTTAAAACGCTTGGCACATTTATGATCATTCCAGTTGTATGATTTTCCCTTATCAATATGGCCACAGTTTTCCTTTGCACTGTTTGGTTCATTTCCAGCCCATGAAGTAAAGGTCAGTGGAGTTAAATCGGACACCCATTCCCATTGTCCATTAACCTCACGTGCGCCTATCCATCTTTGTTTATTTGTTGCTGCAAATAAAAGCATCGTTATCATTATTTCTTCCCATAGATAAGTCCGTTACTTTTATGAATAAAATCAACCTGAATGCGCTAGTTGATTAATTAAGCAGTTACTAAAATCAAATTTCATTTATTAGCTATATTTCTAATATCTAAATGCACGGAATCTATAATTTCGTTGAGAGTTGTTAGAGGGAAATTATTCTTCTTTCTTTTTTGATATTTGAAATATTACATTTTGTACTAGCCATGTACTTTGAAATGTATCGATAATCATTAAAAACTAAACTAACTAAGAATAGAAACATAAATGAAATATCAGATTTTTTACCAATAATACGTTTGTTATTCAGCTTATCATAATAATTATTATTATCATTTCTTTTCCTTGAATGATTTTTTCTATTAGAAATTAAAAACAAACACCAAACAGAAAAAAGTAGCACATGTAACATTCCAGAGATTAGTAACTTTCTTATATGTCCTCTACAAACCTTTAGACTTTTGTTTCAGCCAAATATTTTCGGTGGCACTTTCAATTTTTACCAGATTACTTGACTTCTGTCTACATTCACGCTGAAAAGTACATTGTTATTAAGATTTGAAATAAACACACACACAAATATTCAACATATATGTAACACTTTCAAACGTATCCCTACCACAAAACGTGTCCATTTCGACAAAACGTGTCCTTAAAATACAAATCGCACTAACGTGTTCAATTTTACATCCTCTAAACGTGTCCAATTAATTGCCTTACTTAAACGTGTCCGATTTTTTCCTCTCTCAAACATGTCAAACAATTGTTATCCGCCGACATGTGTCCACTTTGAGACGCCAAAACGTCTAACAACTCGAAGCTCTATTATATCCTTTGTGACGACAGTAACGTCTTTGGCTAATTCAATGATGAAGTCGTGTTTCTACTAGGCTCCAAAGACAAAAATGAATGAAGACCGCTATTCAATGACATCAATGCAGACGTATTTGGGACACAATTTCCGGGGAATAAAAGAGTTAATGAGTTTAAAGACGAAAATAAAAAATGCTGACCTCGTTAAATTGCATATACAGAAGTGTCGTACTGAAGGATGATCAAGGCATGAAGGAATCAAGACATGTATACAATGCAAATCTCAATGTTTGTCACAGTTGCAAATATTTCATCCATATTTATGACGAATTTAAAAATGAAAAATGGAAAAAAAACTGTTCATTAGGCATACAGATGGGACTTTTTTAATTTTTGTACAGTTGAAATCAATGTTTATTGAGGTAATTCTTAATAGTTTGGCCTCGGGCATCACTGAAGATATATTTATTATCTAAATGTGTCTCTGGTGCAGCCGTAGTAAGAGCACGTTTTACATAGCAACCAATGCAGTAAGTTGGACGGCACAAAAACTTCTATCTTTCTAGATGTTGTTTAACGCCCTGCACAGAAACTTAAGCCCCGAGTTCACGTATCATATATTTAAACAGAAGACTTTAGTTTTTTTCCAATTGTATGTCTCCTCCGAAAATTATATTGGTTGAGGGTTGATAAAGCATTCAATATGGATTTGACATGGATTGCTCATTTAATGTTAAAGCAATAAACTCAATGTACTTGAAACTCTTGATGTTTCGACTTTTGACATGAACGATCGTTTATTACATCCTCTAATATGGTAAAATGTCTTCTACCAGAATATTCATGGTTTTTCTCCCATTTCCACTGTCCACGGACTGGGGCTTAGATGCATTTGATACAGTTTTGATCACAGGCTGATTTTTTTGTATACAAACTATAATTCATCACCTCGACAATTCAAATTTTTAATTAAAACAAACCTGCATACGCTACTTTTAGAGATAAATAGGTCGAAATTTTAGACATTTTCACAAAATTTCGCTTTCTTCGAATTTTTAATCCTTTTAACAGGCATACATTTATTGTTTCCGACCAAAGAGCAGAAAATCAGCCCAAGGACACCAATGGGTATTCAACGTTGCGAGCTGATATTTGTGAAACATTTGGAATATCTTTTTACATAAGTATGCTCTACATCTGTGTAACAATTCTTTGAAAATAATTAATTTTTTTATATAATTTGAAATCTTTTTCGTTGTACAGAAATAAAAAGTAAATGTACCCTACTCAATTGAAAACAAGTATGTCAATTTAGCGTTTGATGTGTTTACCTCAGCATTTATCCAAGTGTCTGTATTCTTACTGAAAAAGTAACAACTTCCTTGGTAACTGAGCCATCCTGGTTCACATGTGGGAGCTGTCTTTTCTGTATATGAAAAACAAAATTCCGTTTTACTCTTAACTGAAAATTCTAAAAGTGAATACAAAAACACTATATGTCCATTAAAATATTGAATTATATGATAAATTAGAGGCAACTGCAGTTAAAGATGTTCAAATCTCATAAATCCATTAACAAAATACAAATTCAGGTAAATAAAAACGGAGGGAATAGCATGAACTCCAAAAGGAGCGAGACCAAGTGCGTCGACCCGGTAAGCTTCTCCTGCTCCGCATGCACCGTTCGCCATGCAAATCCACGGAAAAAGTATTTCTATCTCATGGTTTGTCTAGACACTGATGTACGACTAAAAATAAGGATCTGTTACAAGCGTGATGATTTAAATGTTCTATTGTTAATTATCATGCATCTACCGCGCAAGTCATCGTGAATTGCTTCATTATATCATATTCTAACTTTTCTAGAGAGAAATCTTTAGTCGGCAATAAATTGTATAAATATAAAAATAAGGAGTTGTGGTATGATTGGAAACTAGACAATTAACCACCAGGCATAATCCAAGTGACGTGGATGTAAGCAACTGAAGGTCACCGTACGACCTTCAACATATATCCACTACGGTATTTCTTTCGTTATCCATGTCTTTGTAATATCAATACTCTTACTACTTAATATGTCTAATCTGTATGATATAAATTGTTCTCACTGTGGGACAATTTTTCGGAATTTTTTATGTTAATGCTCTACAACTTCGTTTTATATTTGACCTTTTAACTGTTTTGAGTCGAGCGACACTGAAGAGTCTCGTGTAGACAAAGAGCGCGTCTTATTCTTTATACATTTGATGTATGCCTTTTTGTGCTTCTTCGTTACATTTGTTTGTTTTTATAGTGATTAAGATGATAACACAATGTTGACTGCTGTACGCCTATTTTTGACATTTTTACCTATTGTGTCTGTTTGTTTTGTTCACGCATCGTTGTCAATATAATGGAATTTGATGCGACTGTCATACAAATGAGAGGTTTAGCTAGCTATAAAACCAGGTTCAATCCATCATTTTCTACATAAGAAAATGCCTGTACCAAGTAAGGAATATGACAGTTGTTATCCATTCGTTCGATGTGTTTGAGCTTTTGATTTTGCCATTTGATTAGGGACTTTCCTTTTTGAATTTTCCTCGGAGTTCAGTATTTTTGTGATTTTACTTTTTTCTTACATGCTAAAATTACAAGACTGGTATCTTTGATGAGTTTTCATACGTAGTCAACATTATTTTTCATTCATACATATATGAAAAAAAAAAACATTTTTGAAAATTTCGTATGTCGCGTCAGAGCTCACAATACCCTGTTGGCTGGACTCCATATGATGATGAAATTTATTTATTTTTTAAAGACGGTATATATTTTAAATCTTGAGGTGATACTCTTCATTTCTTTTTTTGGCATGAGTATTCAAATATTATTAATTAGTTCATTTATTCATAAATAGATATAAATGTATACGTCATTCGTTGTTGTTTACACAAAAATAAATGATGATAAATTATGAGCTTGTTACAAACAGATAAATTTTGCCCGTGTTTTTATCATTTGTTTACAAAATATCATAATATTGATCATTCTTCAAAATAAAATGAGACTTTTTACTCCCCACTTAAGCATTGCTATATTCTATCTGAATGTTCTTTACTTACTTTTCAATTTATTTTCCAGTGAAGTGAGTTGTACTCTTACTTGTACGAGATTATTTTCTGATGTTGTCAATTTGGATTGTAAATTATCAAACACTGTTTCATCTTCTTTTGAAATACATTGACTGGCGGCAAGCGAAAATAGTGCACACAACACTACTGTTAGAATTGCTGTAGAATCCATGTCACTTATCTAGAATGATTGCAAGGTATTCTAAAATGTATTTATAAAGTGAAAAAAAAAACATTATTATTTATTCACAATTAAATAACATTTGTATGATACTTTTTTAATTCTCTTTTATTCATCGTTTTACTTGATATTTTATTACATTGAAAAAAGCGCAGAGGATATTTGGTATTTGTACAAAATTTAACAGAAATGTTAAGTGGTCTGCCTTTACTGGTTTGTACGCTTTTTAATGCATCTTTTGTTCGTCCACTGGTCGAGATAAACAGAAGAGAGCTGAGATCCGAAAAAGCTCATTTAACCCTGTCATAAATTAATACGGTTCCAAATCAGGAATCCCAACATTAGTTGTCTTATGTCATATCTTTTAAAATGTTTTTGTTACTTGGAGGTTCCGCGTTGATTACAAAATCTAAATGGGAATGCATTCTGCAACATTATTCAAAAAGAAACATATTACCCGCATTTTTAAGCAAAGAACAGGTTGACGTAATCTTGGTTTTTATATTTTCTTCTATATTCATTCTGTTTATTTCATTATTTTATATAAATCAAATTATTTATTAAGTAAGCTTACCGTTTCAGTGTATTCTGTTGCTAGAAATGATATTCTATGTTTTTATTAAAATATTATCCCTTTATATATTTTTTTTTTGGCAACACTCCCCCTGTTTTTGTTTTGGTTTTTTTAACGTTGTTTATTTTTTAAGAGTTGGACATAATTCCGAGAATTGTTTTTATCATAACAATATTGTCGTAATTGTTCAGGTAAATTAACTTTGATCTTACCTTCATTTACGTAACTAAGTATGTTTATTACTTATCATATACAAGCAAAAGTACATTTTTGTTGTTTCTTAAATTGGTTTTTGCTTATATCCCTATCTTAAGTCTTTCAAATATGCTCTGATAGAAAATCTTATTTGGAAAACCTGAAAATTATATTTTAGGTATAACTGCGTTACCAACTAAATAGTTTTTAAAGCATAAATCAAACTGTATTGCTAATTTAAACTTTGATTCCAAACGAATGGATACAAATAGTTTAATTTCTCTTTATCCAGAGAGCTTTGCTTTTTATTTAAGGTAAAATACATGCGTATTTGGTCGCCACCAGCCAAATTTCAAGGTCTAACTGTAACTTTTTATAAATATTTGATAAATTTTGAAATATTGAAAAGATTTGCCATCGTCTCAATTAATGTTGAATACTAACATTTTTTCTATCATATATATTGTTTGACCGACATACTATGACAAAGAAGATGTTAGGTAAACATCAATGACACAGGACACTGAAGAGCATTCTTTATGTCACCGAGTGTACAATAACATATCATAAAGTGACTGAATCGGTTTTTTTTTCTGAAAATAGTTTTCCATCATAACGAATCTTGGCAGATGGCTAATTCAAAGATGATTTCTTCTAAAAGTGTTCCGTAGCAAGATAGCAAGAAAACAACATGACTGTCAGTTCTTTTGAGCTTTTCGTTTGCGTTGCAGTCAGCAATCCTGTGCTGACGAGTATTATAATTCTAAAATGGGCTCATTTCTGTATATTTACTGCTGATTAAGTCTCAGCATCATTAAAATCTAACGTTTGATTTTGTCACTTTTTATGGACTTCCCCTTTTTGAATTTATCATGGAATTCAGTATTTTGGTTATATTTGTTTCCTGACACTAATACATTTCTTACAAATAAGACTTATTGTTCCCTTTGATCATCCATGTAAGTTTAAAGCTTCATGACTACAATAGGAAATTACTTGTTTGTATAGCAAGCGTCATCAATGAAAGACTCCAAGACAGACATCAGTTTATTTCCTCTCTGTCCATTAAAACATCACTACATTTTCTCCGTGTATATTTATATATCATTTATGATGATAAATAATTATATAGCTAGTTTTTCCTAATTGAAATCTCATGTGTTTCATTGACAGCCGAAGTTTTAGGGGTAAGAATCATATTTTTATTCTTCATCATTTTACTTTACATTTATTTGTATTTATTCGTTTGATGTGTGTGACCTTTTGATTTTGCCATTTGATACAGGACTTTCCGTTTTGAATTTTCCTTGGAGTTCGGTATTTTTGTCATTTTACTTTTTACTTCAAACTAATAAGAAAATATGTCTTATAATAAAGACTTGTCATCATGTTGAATATTAATCATATTTTGGCTTACATTCTGTAAATAAAGTTTCTGCTAGAATTAAAATGAACTACCAGGTGAATTAAGGGAGAGTAGAAACGCGCTATTATAGGATTCAGATAGATATTTGCAGTGTTAATATTCTTCTTTTTTTTATACTGAATGAGAAATCATCTGTTATGCAAACAAATGTATTGGTTATGTATGTTCCCTTACATAGTAGTTATTTTATTTTATTTTAAAAATGGGATAGAGAATCCCCTCAAGTTCTAGAAAAAAAAATACTTTTCAGTATTGTAATTATATCACACAAAGGATACGATAGTCTAAGGAAGTCGATAAATGTCATGTTTACTCGACATACCAACGACAACACAGTCTCGTTTGAACGCATTGGTTGAATGATACGATGACGTCAGTGTTTCATCTCACGATCCCTCACTTTTGTTTGGTTTTTACTTTGATTTGTATCTTCGTAATGGATTTATGACTTAAGTATCAATCAGTACAATCAACGGATGTAGTGTAAAGACGTCATTAAGTGAAGTGAACTTTTTACAATGTACATCCTTTTTTTTTTTGGGGGGGGGGGGTCTCACTGGCGTATACCCCGTGATTAGTTTTGTTCAAAGCTAGGGATCAACTTATAGTAATGTCTGAAAATAATTAAAAAGAAGATATGCTTGCTTGACATTCATTTTGACATATTTTGTATATTTTTTTATAACAGCTACGGTCATTTTATTGAATAGAATACCAGTAAAAACTCATTAAATATACCAGTAAGATATTCAATTTTCGAAGTCTATTATGTAAAATGTATCATTAATCACTAGAAAGGTTGCGGAGATCATTTATTGACATGGCAGAAATATCTAATGAAAGAAGTAATGATATTTAATATCTGACTGTACTTTAAACATTGTTTTTCATTTCTGTGCTGTTTATGAGATATAAGCAACAAACAAACATTGTGCTGTATTTAATCAAATGAATGTTTGATCAATCTACATCAACCATATTGTTTGATTTCTTTTTCATCAAGAAATCCCACAGAAAATACACTAATTTGACAAACAAAGAAACTACTGAAGTCGTATTAATGATGTAAAAGAGTTATGTTTGCATAACAATCAATTAACAATGCACTTTATTGCAAAAATGAGCAAAAATAATATCAAAAGAAAATTAATAACTGTAGTCATTTCCGTCAAATATTTGCCGTTTTGTAAGTTTATTAATGAATCGGTAATATGTTTGTTCCTCCGGCGAAACCTTGAAAAGATATTCTTTCAAATTCTATGGGTTTTACCAATTCCAATCTAATATTTGGATTAGCATTTGTTTTTGTGTTACTATATCGAACGTTGTGTCTGTTTGTTACTCTTATGGTAAAGAATTCAAATTAAAAGGGAAACAATCTTTATCTATTTACAGGTTACAATGCTAGCTTTTATTCTAATATGTGTACTGAAAACAGGCTTGGTTCGAACACAAGAAAACAATTTGTTCCCTGAAACAACAAACCAGTTTCCGTCCAATCAAAACAATCACTCATTGGTCAATGGTTTAACAAGTATGATTATCGAGGACAAAACTCATTCAGAACTCACTACAGTACAGACTGCGTCAACGGACATATACTTTCCATCTTCAACTATCACTATAAATCTGAGCTCGGAAGATGTCACAATTTCCTTAGCCAATGATTCAAATAATGAACTAATAGAGATCAATGGCAATGGAAAAAATGTGAACCGTATGAATGACGTAATAGATTACGTAAAATATATACAGAACGCGTATGTCTTACCGCCACTTTGTTTAGCTGGAATAGCGGGAAACACGGTCGCTGGAACAGTTTTATTTAAACAAAGAAGCCTGAATTCGTCTTTTATTTACATGTTTGCTATGGTTGTCGCTGACATATTAAGTTTGATATCAGACCTGTTCGTTTCTGCAGGAACTATAATCGAACATTACACCACATCAGAAAGTCTGCGGAAACATGCAATTGAACTGAGTCATTGGAGTGGAGCGTTAGTGTCGTTTACATTTCGCTGTACGGCTATTAATATTGTATGCATTCTTTCCGTGGAAAGATTCATTGCAATAACTTATCCATTTCATCTCAAATCAGCTTTAACCGTCAGATTCCCTCGTACATTTGTTTCCATTGCATTTCTGATTGGTATATTTGCTAATGTAGCAAAACCAATTAATATTAAATTCATGGATATTCAGAACGCCAATACAAGTGTTTATGGAGCTGTAAGAACGGACTTTTATGTAGCCAATAAGAAGATAATGGATACAGTGGTATTTTGCCAACGACTTTTCACCGGACCTGTCCAGATTATCATGTTTTGTGTCATGAACGTGCTCATAATACGCGGCATGTTTCAAAGTAGAAAAAACATGGGCGCAATAAAAGCTGTAAATTCAGCATTGATAAGTGACCGAAAGCATTTACAGGTCAAGCTTTGCAAACTATTCCTCGTTCTCTGTGCTTGGAACATACTAGCATTTTTACCAAATTCCATTTTACTGATCATTGCAAGGTTTTTCCCCGAGCTTGGACTAAGTAATTTAAGATCGTACACAGCATGGCTTATTGGGGACAGTGGTGATATTCTTCGCATTATAAACAGTGCTAGTGATTTCATTGTTATTATCCTCATGTCGTCGGATATTCGAAAATCCTTTTGCAGCAAATTTAGTACAAATTAGTAGCTAAAACAGTAACTTGAATTTTATCACTCGTAACATTGCAGTTCACACCTTTAAAAATAACGTGTCTGAGCATAAACTCAAATGATTTGTTTGTATAATAGACAGAGCTGATGTGAAAACGAGTTCCAAAGAAAATATAAAGCAATGTGCAAATGTT